ATTCGAATATTTTCGGTTACAATTTAAAAGGCACCGTTTTGCCATCGTTCGAGTGGAGGTTTATACGCAAAATGTTAATTTTTCTATATCATTTATGTGTTCAATCATCTTGTTTTCTTTGGATCCACATTTAATCTTTCTCCAATGCTCATTTTACCAATTAAAGGCTTTCGCCCTAGAGATCTTTCCGAAAAAAACAACCCGCGAACGAATCTGGGCTAACTAGTGCCGCTCTGCTAGAATAAGGCTTTCCGTTTGAGTAAGCTTTACATTCAGAGTGATTTTATTGGATTTAAAGCTAACGAAAATTCCAATTAAGTTTTATTAAATTTCGATTGCGGATTTCGTGTCCTTCGGACCATTTCACTAGATTCTAAATGAAGTTTCGAAATTATATTACGAAGCTTTGTTTGATTTCAGTTTGAGCTTGAGCGAGTTAAAAGGGAGCTGAAAATGTTTCAGTTACTCCCAACCTTAATCCCAATTAATCCCGCTTGATAAAATTGAGGGCTTAGTGACGAATGCCATTGCAATAAGACCGTTCAATTGCGTGCGAGTTTTATAGCCAATCGAAGCGGTTCGGGCCATTTTTATAGCCATTTTATAGAGGGCTAAATTCCGTTGCCTTTGCCACTTTTTCTACGCGTTTTATTTGCGGGAACTCACTCAAGACGATAAATAACTCATAAGAGTGTTTGATTTTTACGATGATTACAGCTGAATTATTCCTTCAGAGTTGTGTTTCTCTGAGAGTTCAATGTAAGCAATGAGTGAAACACCTCTGAGGATGCAAGTCGTTCGTGCTTGCGAAACGTCAGGAAGACATTATTTTTCAGAACGATCTAAAATCCCGAAAAACTTGCCAGTTTCAATAAGTAAACCTTCTAACGTTCTGGCCTTTAACGGCAAATATTTTCCTTGGGAAGTGTTTTTCTGTGTATTGAATTTCCCATTCGGATTGGATGACTGCTAATGGTATAATCGGTTTAACGTGCATGAAATATTGAATTTCATCGGGGCCAAACATGTGCAGTTATCGATTTTCCAACGGATAGATGAAAATGTTTTACCGGTATATTGTTCATTTGGCACATATGTATCGGGGTTGCCAGAAATTTCGATCTTGTATCGATCGATTTGCTCGGCACATTTTGGTGCGGTTACTCCTTCGGGAATCATGTCGCATCTCAATCCGATTCCAGTCAAATGAGTCGAATGTAGAACAGAAAACAGAACTGTTTGTATGAGCATTGTTAGCAGCCACATCTGAAACAAAACATTTGCACGTAAAAGACTGTAGAAAAACGTTTTAAACAGGGTGCGGGTGTTGAAAACGGAGTTAAAGCGAAGCTGAGAAGCACTCAATTAAACAATTAAAACGCTCAATACTAATTTTCTGCAAACATCCATGAAACAGGAACTGTAGTGCTGCAAACGGCAGGCGTTTAATCATTAGGGGTTGTAATGGAATTTACTAGATTAGCGTATGAGATCTAATTTTCAAATGAGTTTACATGGTTTTAAGCGTATCGGTTACTGCGTGGGACCCGATTTCTGTGATTTTACCATTATCAAATCTAAGTTGTTCGTTCTTGTAGATTTGCTGCTTCGTTGCCTCTTTGAATGTTTCCAGTTGCATTGTTTAGTCGTTTGATTCTAAATCGTTTTTTGTTTTTCTTTATGAGGGTTTTTTTCGCATTCCCTTTCGGTCGTTTATTCTCCTCCCATAGCCACGATGCAAAATTGTGGAAAATTAAAGTATTGTCTTTATTTTCATGCCTTTAGATTGTGCAGATTTCAGTACGTTCTGCCTTTTTGATGTTTTCCGTTGGTTAATTCATCACATTTTTCCTTAGTTGCGTTCCTAAATTGGTATATACTGCAGGTAAAAGTTTCTGCAATTATTCACGTTAATTATCTGGAATACGCGCTCATGACAAATGGTTCCAAAGGAACAATTCCAGTTTCCGAAAGTTAAGTTTCTAGAAACTTATCTTATTACAAGCAACGATTCAGTTGCGAGGAGCTTTTAAATTTTAGCAGACACTGGTGGAAAACTCCTTTATAGTTTGTGAAAACAAAGTAGAGAATGGCTGAAAATTGAGGAAAACCGATGTCTTTGACGGCTCATTAAACTGAAACACTTGTAGAGGAAAAGACGATCATTTCGAAGAAAAAATCTCTGAACTGGAGGTGAACTTTTGAGGGAGCGAGCTTTTTGTGTCGATGTTTTATAAATGAAACAATTTGCAGAGCGGGCCAATTCAAAATAGTTTTTGGTTGGCAATAGTTTTTTTGGCAAAACACGCTCTTTCATGAAAATCCCTGATTTTACCCTGATTTTTTTAAATAAAAATTCGTCAAATTAATGCTCTTTCGGAAAAGTTTGCATCGGACCTAAACAAAAACAGCTAAAACTTCGGGGCTGCAAGTTTTCCAAGACCAGTTATTCTAATAAATTATAAGATGTTTTTGGACTGGAAAAGTTGTTCAATTTAGAAGAAAGTAATTTTTTTACAATTTCAGTTCTTTGTTGCTTCCACTGCTCAACGCCGCAGTTCACCTGAACTTCCAATAAAATCATCAATTTAAAATACATTTTATACTCCTTGTCGCTCTTTTAGAACGAGCGTTTGCCATTCAATTGAACAAAAAACCAGCCTCTAAAAGATTACGTCCAGTTAAAAACCTCCAGAAATCGGTTTCGAACTTACGTGAACGTGAAATAAATACAAATTACTATAAACAAACTCACCTGGACGCAAACTAGCAAAAAACAGTGAGTGACGCTAGTTGTAAAATTCGATCGCTGAAGATCGCTGGAAACTGAAGCTAATGGAATACTGTGAGGCCAAAAGTAAAGCTCAAGTTGCGAGCAGCGCGCGCTAGAATGAGAGCCAATTTAACGCAGAAAGCGTTGTGATGGTCATAACAGGAGCATTGGTTAATCATGCTTTAATTCAAATCGTATGTCTGGGCGAATTACGCCTTTATGCCATTTGTTTTGAACATTTTATAGCTAACAAGACTAGAATCAATAGCAAACTATTCTTTTACTTAATGCTGCTGATGCTGATTGTTAAGCGGCTATTTCCGGATAAAAAGGGTTGCTTGTGTGTTAACAGCCGCAGGTTCTAAGCTGATTTACATCGGCACATTAAACCGTGCTTTGCCATTAAAACGACGAGGTGAATAAACTGGGGTGAATAAAATGCGTCAAATTGTTATAAATTAATTTATTGAGCAGTAGTAAAAACAGTATTCATCTAAAATAGTTTCTCGTTTAAATAACTAACTAATCTATATCGTAATCAGATTCACAATTAATAAATTCTTATCTTACATATTAGGACCTATAGGTACAATCTTTAGTTTCATTTGTCGAGTCTCTTGGAGGCGCTCCGAATTCTTACGTCGAAACTTATTTATCATCATCAACCAATAACATTTAACTACCATAAACGATGGGAGATGCAAAAAAACCATGTCATTTAGTTCAGCTGAGGGAAAGTTCCAAAAATTAGTGAAACGTTCGCATTGATATTCAGAAAAGGATTTTTTCGAAATTTCTAGAGCCTACATTGGCGGGTTAAAATATCGACTAGAATCAAAAGACATAGAATCAAAGTACAACACATGAATACTATCGCTACAAAGACCCTGTCACGCAATCCTGGAGTTCTTAACGTTAATTAGTACTAATTAACATGTCTATCATAAGAAGCGCTGCTTTACTAAAAAGGCACTGAAAATCGCTCGCTTTTTGAACGTCAACCTCAGATACGAAACAGTTTGTTTTTGCCATGCAAGACAATTGTACGTTTCTACCGCTTTCCCATCTAAATTATCAGTCGGCATTAAGTTTACAAAATTTGCTTATATACAAAATATATTTTTCATTTCCTACAATTTAATCTTATGTACAATAGAAAATTCCTTTACTTTTAATTATAATCGAGTCAAAATGAAGATTCATAGAAACGAGTTATTTGTAGATTATTGTAACTGTTAGTAAGAAGCAACTTTCACAACTTTCACAAGACGATATAACTGCTGTTTCAACATGTTCTCAACAATCCGACAGATAGAATTTGTGCAAAGTTAATATTCCAATAATCACAACAGTTAAAAATCACATTTTCACAAAAAAATCATTAAATGCACAAACCAAAAAAACAAGACCAGTCATCTGCGAAATTGAAACATTCCAGAAGTCCATGGGTTTGAATTCAACCTTCAGTATGGATGTATATGGATAAAATATCTCCAAAATACCCCAAAAATCATTATAAAACCGTTACTTAAATTCAAAACATTATCTGGCAAAATAATTAGTTTATTGGGGGCAGATATGTTACATTCGTATACACTGCAAATGTTCTGAGAGTCGCATTAAGGCACAAATGGGTTTTAGATAGAGACTCTAACGTTAGTATCTGTCAGTAATTCTTATTTCTGGACGACGTAGGCCTAAAAACGTAATCTAGATTGTATAGTCAAGCTAAGATATATCGCCAAAAAAATTGAGGATTCATGCAGAAAGCTTGAGCGAATGTAGTTGGCTAATTACCTGAGGATGTTACTGCGCGGACCTGGTATTCGAGACGCAGGTCTGGGAATACCAGTAGGTCTAGGCAAACCGCTGGCTCGCACTACTTGAGGCTGCACAAAAGTGCCATCTAATGCTGGCTGACTTGAAATTGTCCGAGTTGCTGGTAGAGCCTAAATAAATAATTGAGTTAGTCCAGTATCTCTAAGAATATTCAAGCTATCGACGCACATAAAAAACGCTTCATTACATAATCACTGCGATAATTTCAAGCAGACACAACAACAAAAAATTAGTTGAAAAGGTAAAAGTGACTTTTTTTTAATCCGCTATTTAGGAAGAAAACGGATTTGCAAACACAAAAAAAATTGTAGATAAGTTCTATATTGTTGAGGCGGATTCATTTTTTTACAAACTTCTTGGTGGGTATTTTGCCTCAAAAATTTTTGTTTTTAAAAAAGACAGAATTTCCTCACGTCTTCTATTACAGATTGATAAATAGTGCTCCTATTTCGCAATAAGAACGAATTATTT